GAAGAATAACTGGCTGCGGCTGTCCCCCGTGGCGGCGGTGGTGCTAGGTGAGCGGCGCGGCGGGTGGGCGATGCGCGCACCCTCACGCGCACCCATCGCCCAGGCCGCGTGAGGGGCGTGCGGGTGCGAGGGTGGGCACGCGCTGGCGCACTCGGTGCCGGGGCCCCTCGGCGCGGGCTCGGCCCTGGCCTCAGACCCCCGCGGGGGCTCTCCTGCGAGCAGGCTGATCTCTGTGTGCGATGAACAAAGCTCCGCCGGGACTCGCGTTCGGGTGCTCGAGGAGCTGCCGGCTCCTGCTTTACCCACAGTGAGCGCAGGGCTTGGAAGGTGGGAAGGGAAGCAAGCAGCTCCCAGTTCTGCCCTTTTGGAAACAAAGGGCTGGTTTTTACATCTTTCTTCCCTACCCGCTTTGAACCATGCTGTCCTGACAGACTGAGTATGAATTGCAGTTCTCCGTCTTCAGTCGGACTGGAGAGGCACATTGGGGCCCAGGGTGGTTGGGCCCCTGGGGGGAGAGGCTGAGGGTGTTGTCGCTAACCCCGGCCAGTGCACTGGAAGGCGCCTTCGCACATGGCTGGCGCTAGCTGCCTGCACTAGGCTCTTCGAAAGCTGCCAGATTCTGCCTGAATTCAGGGGTGTTCCATTGTGTCCCAAGGGAGGTCACAGGGGAAGCGAACTCAGAGGGCCCCTTTCTCCTGAGCTTCCTTGCTCTCCATGTTGTTTTTCTATTAAAAACGTTTTTTAAGCCGTCTTTGCTTGTTTTTGCAAGGGTGTATTTAAGTGATTAATGCTTGACAGATCACCAGACGAGGTGAATGTCTGAGCTATTGCTCAGAGATGTGAGTTACTCGTGTTTGGATTCTGTTCTGCCATGGTTGTCTGTTTTCCACACTGGGCTCCTCCAGGATGCGCTGCTAGGGGGCTGGATCCACGTCTGTCTTGCCCTGGGAGCTGCACAGGTGGGGACTTCTAGCAGGTGGGAGCGGGTACACCACTGGGAACACACGGATTTCCTGGCAGGCTCCATCTTCCGTTTGGAAACTGCAACTGAGATTGCTAGAAAGGGGGAGGGGGAGTTGTCCCGCCCCAATCTCATGCACCCTCCTCTCCACCTCCTCCTAAGGAATCTCAGAGTATTTGGTATTTCCTGATCACTGTCCCATAATTCCCTCGGGGGCGGGGGGGGGTGATGGTTTAAAAAAAAATAGCCTTTGGACATTAATGAGATCCTTGGTGTCAGATTGGCTCCTCCAGAACCCCGTGCACAGCGAAGTCAGGTTCCTAGTAAATAAATAACGTCCTGGAATTGCCTCAGCAGAAGCCATTTGTGGGGAAGGAAGTGGAGAAGTAGGTCTTCACTATTTCCCCCAAGAAGTGCCAAGTGGCTCTGGGCATTTTTAGGGAAGGTTTATCCTGTCCCCTCCCCACCACCACATTTAAATAGCAGACCCTACAAAGAGGGTGGGTGATTTGACTTCACTTCAGTAGAGTAGAAAAGATGGCTTTGTTTGTCTTCTTAGTGATAGCCTCTACAATTAATTATTAAATCCCTTTTTAAGGACTTTGGGTGGCAGGTAACCTCAGGCTTGCGTCTCCCTCCCAATTCTCTGCAGACTGGAGCAATCTCGCCTTTTCAGCCCTGGGGTGCTCCAGAGATGCTTGCTTGTTAACCCAGTGTCGCCCACCAGAGGTCAGTGTCCTGATGTAATAAAAGCTGGGGTGGAAGGATTTTGAGAATTTGTTCCTGACCTTTTGAATGAGTTGCAGAAATACATCTTCCGGGTTCATTGGGATTACGTGCCCATTTTGCAGACGTGGCCATTGGTCTTTGGTGGGCATTTTCCTCCAAGTTGAACGTTTTTTCCCTGGAGGGAACCTGGTTCCAAACCTGGGTTTGAACCCAGAAGCTTGATTCAGGTACTATTCTCCAGAAAGAAAAGCCATCATTTAAAATGTTTAAGTGCCCACTAGAAGTCTTCCTTGACATTTGCTCCTCTAGAGAGCAACACAGGGCAGGTCCCCATGTGTTCCTGCTTCTGGTCTGAGAACTCACAAGCCTAGACCATCCCCCAAGTACCACTCAGCAGGGTTCTCTTTTCTTCTGTCTTTGAAGTATGCTGGCAATGATACCTCTGTTCGTGCTGTCTGCACTAGTTCATTTGTTTAACCAGCAGTGACATTTCAGCGACTTACAACAATGGCCCTGAGTTTATGGGTAAGTCCTTATTAGGTCATGATAGTAAACGTTTGTTTTATAACTCCCTTAACTGACCAGAAAAATCTCAGGAGCACTCGTGCAGCCCCCTCCTCCCCTTCTGAACTTTTCAGCAAGTGAACCTCAAAAAAAACGAAAACAAAAAACTGTATGGTTTATTAACTACCCTGACTAAAGGTCATATTCTGATCATAGCCATGGAAGTGTTTGGTCCCTGCTATAATTGAGAAGCCCTGACCCTTTAAAATATTTTGGTTATTGAAATGAAGAGCAAAGACTTTTATGAGCCAGCTTAAAGCCTCTGATTTTTCACGATATAGCATGTGAGGGAAATGCAATTAAATGTCATCTTTATTAGGTGTGAAAATTATTTTCATGGGTGGGAGATGACAAGAGCACAGCTATTCCTCAAATTCTTATTCACAAGATGAAAGGAGTTAGGTGACCATCTTTCTTAATTTCTATAAAAGCCTACAAGGTTCTCAAAATAATACCTTGGATTTTCACATGAGAGGCCTTGACCAAAATACCATTAGAAACATTTTCATTGCTTTCTCTACTGCTTCTTTAGTGTAGTCAAATGAGAGCACAAATTCCTGGAGTCAGGGATCTAGGATTCGAAGTCCGATTGCCAGGCTCTCCCATTTAGAAAGCCTGCTTATTCTCTGGGATCCTCAGTTTCCTCATCTGGAAAATGGGGATATTGGTCATTTGTTATTAGGGTTGATTAAGAGTATGTGAAAATATCCAGTTGTGTGTGTGTGGCATATACAATATACTGGGCATTCAATATATGTTAAGGTAAATCTGAATATATTGTGAGAAAATTAATGTCTTCTTACGAAATAAAATTTCCCAATCCATGTCTCTTTGTTGTGCTTAGTGTCCAGCCTATACTTTGGAGTCCAGAGTGACTCAAGTGTTTTGATTACATGCTCTGTCTAGGCCAATGCCAGTCTCTGTAGCAAAAAGAGAAAGTTCTTTCCCTTTCCGGGAAAGAACTAATCATTTTATTTTCTGCTGTGCAGCCTAATTCTCAATTCATTTAACAAGGAACAGTTTTGAGGGAAGAGTTTCTGTGCCCTAAGTAGGAATTATGTCCAAGCAGAATTCCTGTGTATAGAATTCTGTCCATATCTGATTAAAGTCATCTAATAAGTCTCACTGTATACTGTTGGTAAGGCCCTCATGGTCTCCTCACCTAACTCACAGCAGAAAGGCTGACCTTCCTCTCTAGGCTGATTCTATGTTCTTTCAGTCATTTGAAAAGCCTGTGCCACCAAGTTAAGGGATTTTCAGAAAAGGTAGTAAATGTTATTTACACCACAGGGATGGCAAGCTCATTCATTCTAAGTCATTCTCTTCGAAACACTAAGGAAGTAATCTTTTACAGATTCCAATTCCGTCATCTAAAAGGTGAAGCAGTTCCTTTACATTCTTAGTAACACCCTTGCCCAGCTTCGTGGCTCCTACCTGGAGCTCTTGCAGCCCTTACCTGGCAGTGCTAATTTGAGGGTAGGCAAATGCTTTCTTGTTCTGTTTTTATGTGAGTCTGTGAAATTCCTGAGGATGGGCTGGCCCTTTACCTGCACAGAGCCTTGGCTCAGCAGCATCTGGGAACGTTCCTGCATAGCCAAGACTTAAATCATTCTCCCATTCATTCAACAAATATGTACCAGGGACTGTTCTAAAGCCAGATCACACACAATGAACAAAAGTCCCTGCCCTCATGGAACTTATTTTCAAGTGGAAAGAGGTCATGAACACAATAAGCAGGCAAAATGTAATACAGGTGTATCACGTGGTAATAGTGCTGCAGGAACAAAAGCAGGAGAGGGAAATGGGGAGTTGAGATCACAATTGTAAATAGTAGCCAGGAAGATCACAATGAGAAGGCGAAGAAAAAAGCCACACAGATAGCTGAGAGCATCCTACTGAGAAACAGCAAGGAGGAGAATAAGGCACGAGAGTAGGAGGAGATGAGGTGGCAGTCAGGTAGGGGTGCACAGCAATAGCTTGGCTCAGGTCCAAGGTCCAGTCAAGGCAAAATGGCGACCTCCCTTGAGCAGCCAGCAGAGGGAATGGAAGGGAAAATACGGCTGCGCAAGGCATTCAGCAGGTTAACCTGTAAGCATTTGCTGGATTTAGTCCAGGGGAGGAGGAGTGGCAATCTCTGACCAGAAAAGGAGTTCTGGAAGGGGCACAGGCTCGGAAAAACACATGGCATGTTCCACTGTGGATAGGGAGCATTCATGGCGTGTGAGGGCATTCAGGTAAAGGAAGGCAACAAGCAGCTGGATAAGTGAGTCTGGTACTTGGGAGCCCTGTTTGGAGTGGAGCATCGGTTTAGACCATGTCAGGCACAGGAAGAGGGTAAAGCTTTGCGAATGAAGGAACTCATTTGGGAGAACAGGGAGAAGAGAAGACCAAAGACCTGGACAACCCCAATATTGGAGGTCTGGGCAAAGGAAAGAGCACACAGAGGAGAACTCAGGAAGGGCATGATAGGAGGTAAGAGAGTTCCATTCATATGCCAACTGTCCTCTACAGGTAGTGGACTGTCTAGTGTGATGTTTCTTAAGAAGACGTGAAAACAAAAAGTTCTGAAATAGATTACCAATGTCTGCCAAAGGCTTAAGACCAGGCAGTATTGGTATGTATGCTGCATATTGTGGACCCTGGCTTAGAAATCTGTGAGGTTCCTTCTAGCTTTAATAACTTTTAGCTTGGGCCAGCAGATGGCATAGCAGTTACATCACTGGACTCCCTCACGGGTGGCTGCAGTTCAAGTCCTGGACCCAGGGGCTTGAAACTCATGCCAGGTGCATGTGC